AATGTTTTTTTTGTGCAAACAAAGAAAATCTTTATTTTAGCTATATACCATAAATATTTTGTAGTTATACTACTGCATGTAAAACAAATAACAAATAAAGGAAACGTCAAAACATAAATATCAATTAGTTTACATTTTATATTAAAAATGTGTGAAAACAACTCGCCACGATTAGCCATTGAACCAACGCTGCGCGCATCTACCCACTGAGCTACTCAGCCAGCCTATGCAAAGTATCAAAAAGTTGAAATTGGTATTTGAACATAAGTAAAAACTCAATTATATTGTTAGCTGCGCATCTGCCCATTGAACTGCTCAGTCAGAATATTAGTTGCTACAAAAATTGCAATTTAAGACAACTGTGTGTCAGGTCTTTTTAGGACTTGTTGGAACGTATTCTACATAGCAGCAGATCCGGACATATAAAATTTCCGTGTTGCATCTGTTGTTTTATAGATGCATCAATTAGCCATATAGCTATTGATTTATCAAAAATAGTTTCAAAAAAATCTCGTATAGATAACGAACCTGTCCACAACAAAATATTATAATTTGTCCCTCAACTCGTGCCCCCAAAATATGTCAGGGAATTTGAACTGCCACCCCTCAAGTCCCTATTTGTGGTTTATTTGGTAATTAAAAAACGTTTGCTTTGAAATCATTACATAACAAGCGTTAAACAAAAAACACCCCAAGGGCGATTATTGACACATAAACTAGTCAACAGCAACAGCAACAACAACAACAATAAAAACAACAACAATAAACTGACATGAAGAACCCTTTGAGCAGCAGCTTTTCATCGTCCTTTTTGTAGCTGGACCAGGCGAAACGTGCGGGTTACCGGGAATGGGACACGTTAGTGTTGATGCCTTCAGGTGGGATGTGCGACGTGTGGTGTAAATATTTTGCCTGGCACTATTAAAATTGACTAAAAACAAATCTCTCTCGGCTTAACTATATACATGCGTGTGTGTGTGTGTGTGTGTGTGTGTGCGTGCGTGTGCAACAGCAAATTTTAATTAACGTGATTAAATTAATTTAATGAGCTCGTTCTCTGCCACCATTCAGTTTAATTGCAGTCGCTTAAGCTATACCCTGTAAAAAGTTGCAAACAGGGGAAGAAATTGAGTAATATGCAGATACTCTACAGTAAATAAATAGAACTTGAAACTAAAATTAGCTCTGTAATTAAACACATTTTATGTTTCATTTAAGAAGTTATTGCATTGTAATTATATTAAATCTGTATGAAGTCCACTTAGCGATGTTGGAAATAAGTATCAAAATACATTCAGTCCACTAATCTATTAATCTAACTAACTACTTTACAACTTTAAATGTCCATCATAATCCGTGATGTTTGATCTTGAATTGTTTCTAAGTGCATTAAGGTGATCCAATCTTTTAACATGATATAAAAAAGTTTAAGTTTAAGTTGAAGGCTGCTTGTTCTGGCAGTAACCAGGGAATCACTTAGTCGAGTATTAGCTGGTCTTTTGCACTTTGAGAACATATTTGCATTATGTACAATTTACAGGGTGTTTCTGAGTCGGATACACGCGCTATGAATGCAAATACTTGCGAGTTTTAACTCACTTAAAGCGACAATTAAATTTTTATGCGCGAGGACAACGACGACACTGACAGCGACAAGGACAACAACAGCAACAACAACAACAACAACAGCACAACAAGGACAACAACAACGGCAATGACGTAAACATAAACGCCACGTTACGTGTAATGTATAACGTGAAATGATTTTTACGACGTCCCATAACCGCACCACATGTCTCATCAACGTCAGGCCGAAACTTTCAGCTAGCTGCTCCGCAGCTCCCTTCGCGCAGCGCCCCCGCACCGAACGGCCAGGCGTTTGTCAGAGTCAAGCGGCATTATCATTAACAACATCATGTGAAAGTGCCACGCCCATTCCGTACTCCCCATTCTGGGCTACGTACTTACTTTGTCAATTGCTGCATGATGGGAGCTGTAGAAGGAGAAGAAGAAGAAGCGGGTTGGGAGCTGTTTGCGAGTTGGGCAACGTTCGCATATGTGTGTGTGCGCGCGTGTATATGCGTGTGTGTGGCAAGGTGGGCGTTCCAGTTGGAAAATAAACCAATTTCTGTGTTAATTTTTATGCTATGACCTCAGTTGCCTTACTTGATGTTGTCTATGTTTATAGTGCGGGCAATTAAATGAGGGTTATGCGGGCAACATCTCTCGAGAGGATGCTCCCGTAATCATATGCTGGAGAGCTGCACGAATTGTTCTAAATCAACTAGAACAAGCATGGATATTTTCATAATTATAGGCAAAGCCAAAGCTAAACAACAAAAATAACAATAGGCAAATAAAGTGCATATCTCAGATTAGAGCGCTCGACTGGAAGACACTCTGTAGCATTGTTCCATCTTACTCTGACACATTAATACAAAAAGCCACACACATGCATTCTTGTAGATCTTCGGTGATATGTCTTTTGTAGATCGACTGAGATATGTCGCTATACAACGACTTAATCTCGCAATGATCGGCGGATGAGCTAGGTCGCTATAAAACGACTTAATCTCACCATGATCGACGTCGGATATATGTACGACATAATCTTATCTTCGCTCGGAGAGATCGGCGGAGCTATGTCGCTATAAAGCGCCTTAATCTCGCAATGATTCACGCCGGAGCTAAGTCGTTTTCAAACGTCATATCTCCGCGCGGAGATATGTTTCCTTAGAACGGCGGAGATATGTCGCTATAAAACAACGATGCGGACACATGACGTAATTAAATCGGTGAAGTTATGTCGCTATAAAATCAGACGATGTTTAGCCGAGAGCCCCATGCTTTTTGCCGAATTGGGTCAAAATTAAGATTTTCATTTTTATATACAAACAATTCGTTTTTAATAACTTTTTTAACCTATCGATTTTTAATTTGTTGAAATGCCAATTAATAATAGGGATCCGTACGAATTTGAAAAGGTACAACCTATCAAAATCAGACGATATTTACCCGAGATATTCAAAAAAAATCATCAAAAAAGTTTTGATTATCGAACCGACCCCGATCTTTGTTAGGAAAACTTTTTGTTATAAAGATATTATGACCAGACTAGGAATTCATAAGTTTCACTATGTCCTTACATATATGCAAAATCTGAAAACTATATCATATAGCTTCCATAGGGAAGGTCAATCGAAAAGTAGGTTATTCTATGAACTACTTTTTTGTTTATTAATCTATTCTGACAAAATTAGATTCAGTCAAACATTTGAATTGGTATTTTTGATTTTGAACCGATAATCTTTATCGATAGGAGTTGAAAAAGCTGTTTTATTTGCAAAAATTGACAAATATATTGTGTATTGTTCTTGAGGCATAATTAAATTATATTTAATTGCATTAAATATTAATTAAAAATCTTTTTAACTTCAGTCTGACTGCTGGTTTCTATATATTTCGAATTTAACCAAGTGTTTAGCAAGCCTTTAAGATAAATTTCTTATCTTGCCTTACCTTTTGGCTCCTTGGAGATTTTCCACCTTGGCATTTGTTTTAATGCCGTAATTTACACACATTAATTACAGTTCGGCGATGGGCGGGTGCAGCGGCGGGGCGCGGCCAATGCGACAACTGGGGTATAATATTTTGTGCCCCATGCAACTAATTGCAACTGCTACCAGCTTGGCGCCATATCGCAACGACAATGACAGCGACGCCGTCCCCATTGTAAACGACAGTGGGAGGGGGCGGATGGGGTAGTAGCAGGGGAGACACTAAAGCAACTGCAGCTTACCTACCTCTAGCCGCTCACCCAAGGCACCCGAGGGACTGCCGCTTGTCGCTTTTGCAACGCGTTGGTGTGTGAAATAGACAACTTGCATTCCAACGCGTATGTGTGTGGGGGTGTGTGGTGCTGTTCACCTTCAACTTCTTTAAAAGAAAGGAAAAAATGCGAGTTAAAAAACGAAAAAGGAAAAACTGCAGGCAGCGGCAAGTTTCCTTTTTCGCTAGCACATTTTTCACTGCCATGTGCCAGGCTGATGTCGTTTTTCTCTTTTCCAACACTGCCACCTGGGGAATTTACGTGTGCATGCGTGCGCTTAGCATACCCCAAAACTCTGTAACCTCTGGACACCCAACCTTCTGCGGCTGGCAAAAACTTCAAGCGGGCTGCTCAACCTTTTAGGTTTTTCTTTCTTTCTTTTTCATTTTAGTTTATCCGTTTATTGCGGTTAAGCAAAAATAATGCTTTTTTGCCCCTAACCTCTCCTCCGTACCCTCTACTTACATATATGAGGTTTTACGTGTATTCTCCAGCGGCTTTTGCGTGCATTTGGCTGCCTTTAATTCCATTTATTATATTACTTTTTATTTGTTCAATGCGTTTATTAGCATTATTTAAGGTCGCTTGGCTTAATTCGAAAATAAATTAAATTTCTTTTGTTTTTCTAAAAGATTGGTTCGTTCAAAAAATTAATAAAATTAAATTAAAACAAAAAATATATTGTAATATTAATTACACACGCATATCTTTTTATCTCTCTCGCATTCGATGTGCTATTAAATGCCAAAAAGAGGATTGAAGTCCGTTTCGTACATGTGCCGCATTTGCCGCTGCTCAGTCAACAAGCAGAGTGGCGCAGTGGAAGCGTGCTGGGCCCATAACCCAGAGGTCCGAGGATCGAAACCTTGCTCTGCTATGGGAAATTACTTGCTGTAAAGTAATTTTTTTCCTTTTTAAAAATTCGAGTTGAAATAAAAGGCATTTTTGTTTTTTGGAATTTATTTCTTGTGTTTTTATTGTATTTCATTGTTTTTGTTTGTTGATGTTTGTTTTTCATGTTTTACTTTACTGCTAAATAACTTTAAATGTTGTATATTCTTTACCATATTCGTTCATATATCTTCAACTTTTTCTTTTCTCTTGTTCTTGTTCTTGCTGTTTTAGTTGTTGTTTTTCTTGTTATTTACGCAACTGCAACAAAATGACGCTGTTTGCTGTGCATCCCTTTATTTATCATTTTTGCTCATCTTGTTCTTTACATGTATATAATAACTAAATTTGCTTTATAATAATAAATATAATAATAGTTAATAATGATTTGTTTATTAAATATTTTTAAAAAATGTTCGTTTTTAGGAGTATAATTATCATCATCATTTCTTATCATCATTCTCTTTATCATCGTTATAATCGTTGCCAAACGGGTTCTTTATCTCTATTCGCACGAGCTTCCATTTCGTTTAATGGGCTCGTTTACACAGTGTCAATTCATGATTTCGTTAGATTTGCCCAATTCGCTCATTGCATGACTGCAGCTTAAGAACTATTATTTCAATTCATCATTGTTTTGTATATATGTATAGGTAATTGTATATACTAGTTCATTAATTAATGTATATAATAATAAGTTTATATGTTAAATACAAAATAATACACACGTTTAGTACGTTTGCATTTATGTTAAAATGAAAAACAAACTACAAAAATATACAATATTTGAACACACAAAACAAATGAGTGAAAAATCTAAGATTAACAACAAACAACTTTTATGAATATCACAAAAACATAAAATAATAATAATAATAATGTTAATAATCATAATAAAATGAAGTACATAAAACATAAAAACCTATATTGTAGAACACTTTGCAAACTTAAGAGTTAAAACAATAGTTCTGGGGGCGGCGATGTGAAGAACACGCCAAGCCCATTGAAAACAATTTAAAATTCGTTGATATCACCTGACAAAAATGAAAGACTACTTACAGTTAACATATACACATACACACGAGTATGGATACTATATAAGTATGTGTATGCAATGTGGTATTACATTTAATTAAATTAGAATTAAAAATTAATTTTTATACGCACGCTTAAGTTGTTCACACCTAGTTACTTTTTAGTTATCTTTCATATCCTTTTTTTATTTTTTTTTTGTTTGCCCGCTTTTTGTTGTTCTTTTTTTGTTTTTATTCTTGGGTTTGTTTTTGTATTACAATAAATTGTTTGTTTCTTTACGTTGCAACATTGATTCATTTTTTGTTCTTTACTTTTCAATAAACACATCACATCATATTCACAATTAATAATCATAATAATCTATATATATGTATATATATATATGTATGTATATTATGTATATGTGTGTAAATATAAACTAAAATTAACAATAATAACTATGACTTATGCTGAAAAAGACTACACCATATATTATTACATTTAATTATTATGGTTCCGCTATTATAATTATAGATATATAATTATAAATGTAATATTTTCATTTTTTTTTCGAATGCGCCATATACAAGCGTCATGTATTACATAAGTGTTAAGTGTGTGCTGCTGTATGTCATGTATGTGTGTGTGTATGTTTAGTCAAACAAATTAAAAAATAGTTTGAATTAAAAATATTCAATATATATGTGAAGTATTATTCAATCAATGCACATGATCTACGCATGATATCATCATGACATTCGCTTGATAAAACTTTAAGGCAAATAAAAGTTTCGTTTCTAGTTTACACGATCGAGAGATTCTCGTATTCTACACGCGTGCCATACAATTACACGCAACTCACGATTCACGACATTCGGGCTGTTCGCTTGTAAACAAAATTTCGGGGCATCGCTTAAGTAAACATCATATGATACACAGAATCTATGTCCATATTGTAGTAGTATCCGTTTTTTACGTTTTCCTCTCTTAAATCTTACTAGCTAAAACTCTTATTTGTAGAACATTTATGTACGTGTTTTCTTTTGTTTATCTTTACACGAAACATATTCTTTTGCCATTTCGCAGCTTATTGTTTTCCTCCAATTGTTTATTATATAAGTGTTAGTAACTGTTTAAAATGTTTTCGAGTTTAGTGTTGTGTAGTGTTTTAATACCTACGAATATGCATTTATTTTGTTGTAAAGTACTTTTTTTTTCTTTTTTTTCAATTTTATTTTTAATTTTTTGTTTGTTTTTTTAATTTAATTTCTGTGTGTTAGTTTATAATCTTTCGCTTGTATACAACTTGGCTTTATCGTTCCACTAGCTGTTGATTTTCTTGTTGTTCTTGTTGTTGTTGTTGTCGTGGTTGCACATAGATTTAAGGTCTGCTTATAATGGACGGAAACTTATTAGGCATTTTTGTTGGAGTTGTTTTTGTTGTTTAAGGTTTCTATGGGTTTATTTCTATAAAAACGTTTGGTTAATTTGTGTTTAGGCTGAGTATTTGAAGAATAGAGTGCTTAGTGTATGAATATGTTCTAGAAGAGGGTATTCGATAAGATAATACAATATGATTGTGGACATTTTAAAGAGCTATGTCAGCAGTTACGGAGATTAAAGAATAAATTAGGGTTCGACGCAAGAAATGCTGTTTGTAAATAAGAAAAGAATTAACAAATTTCCGTATATTATAATCAGCCCTTAAATGTATATGTATATGTAAAGCATAAGTATTACGCTTAAAACTTTGAACGATCTTAGCTAATGTTGATTATTATTGTTATTTTTATTTATGTGTATTTGCGACGCTCTCATCGATAATTTCTGTTCTCTTTATTTGTATCTTTATTATTGATTAATGGAACCGATTTAAAATTACATATATTTATATTTCAGAAACTTTTCTAATATTGATTGCTACTATTTAATATATATATATTTATATTAAATGTTTTTACCTTTATCCAGTTTCTCTTGTTTTACAAATAAATTGATGTCAATTCTCATTCACTTAATATTGATTTTACTTCCTTCTCCTTTTGTTAATGTTTCTTTTTATTGATTTCTCTTATTATTTTTTTTTTGTTTCTTTAAAAGATCACATTTCATGTTTAGTTGCCATTAGTAAATATATAAGTATATATTTATGTACGCTTGTATTATACGTGTATATACATAAATATATGCATATACATATCTTGTGTATAATAAGTAGGTTTCCTTTCTTCTTTTTCTTTTTGTTGTTTTTGTAATTATTGTAATTGTTATGTTCTGTTTAGTGTTGTGTAGTGTATTACGATTGAATTACATATCTCGAAAAATTAAATTTACGAACTGTAAATGAAAATCAGTATGCAAAATTTGTAAGACCATTTTCTTGAATATACATATATTTATATTACCTTGAATGGCTTTTACGCTTACAAATTTTATATAGGAAGATACAGTACGTTAGTTTTTTTTTTGTTTTTTTCTTTTTAAATTTTGTGTGTGTGTTTGTTTTATGAAATGTTTGCTTTAATATTATATTATTTTTCTAGAGATTTCAGCTAAATTAATAATACACTTTTAAAAAATTTAGTTTTCAGTGTTTCTTAATTTTCCTTTTTTTGTTTTTTTGTTAAGTTTTATTTTTGCTTTTTTTACCTATGCAAAAAATGCTTACTGCTTAGATTTGATTATAATTTTAGTGTTGTTTTTGATGCTTCAACTGCTTCATTCTGCATTTTTCTTCGATTTCGATTTCGTAATGTGTATTGTAATTTGTATATAAAAAAATATGTTTATTACATTTTAATTGGATTTTCGTTTGTTTTTTTTGTTTTTGCTGTAGTTGCTGATTCGCTTGTTTGTTTTATAAAATGTAAAAAAAGGAATATGGTTTTCTTTTGTATTTTTAAAAAAATCCTTTGAAATTGTTTGCCTTGCGCATTTCTTGCTTTTCATCTGCTTATTTTCGTTTTTGTTTGGTAGTAAATCGTTGTTGCAAAAATAGGACGTGACTGTACTTATATATTTTTTTTTATTTTTATAATTTTTTTTGTTGTTGTTTGTTGTTGTTGTTGTTGTTTTTGTTTTTACATACTCGTATTTGTTGTTGCTGCTTAACCATGGCCTATGAATGTTTACTCGTTTTGATTAATTTTGACTATTTTCAATGTAATTTGTTGTAGACTTTTCATTAGGCTTATCGACTATTAACACTCCTTACTAAATGTTTACTTTAAATGTTATAATAATATTTATTTATTTTTTACTTGTATTTGCATTGAAATATGGAACACTAGAGTTTAAAATAGTTTGTAACTAATTTTAATGCAACTGCGTTTTCCCATTTTGGTATAATTATTTATTTATTTTTTTTTATTTTTTTGTTTGTTATCAATTTCAATTATGTTAATTGCTAAATTTTTCTGTTTCTCATTTAACAACACTAAACATTTTTTTTTTAAATTTCTTTTTATTTTTTTGTGGGTTTTCTAATATTGTAGAGTTGTCACTCAATGTTTTCTCTTTATGTATGTCAATTGTGTGTAAATCTGATGCTTACGTTAAAGTCTTGCTATACGTACGAAAAGTTATGTAGATTTCTCAATATATATTTTATAATTTTTTAGTTTTTATTATTTATTTTTCCCCATTATGTTTGTTGCTCTTGTAAATAGTTCATATCAACCTTTAATTTGCATCAAAATTTTATTCGAATTTATTTTATTGTGTGTTAGTGTTAATGCGTGTGTGTGTGTGTATGTGTGCGTGTGCTTGTTTAGATGCAGGATGAGGGCGCGGCTATTGTGGCCGGCGTAACGGTGATTGTGGTGGCCGGCAGAGCAGCCACTGTGGTGGCCACCACCGGATAATGATGACCCACATACGCGTGTTGCTGATGGTGTATCAGGCTGTGATGTTGCTGCTGTTGCTGCTGCTGCGGCGTCGCGTACTTTAGGACATGTTGCTGCGGCAGCGAGATAAAGGGCGCTGCCTGAATGGGTATACAGTTGGAATTGTAATCGCTGCTTAGCACGAGAGTGGGCGTGGCATCGGTATAGTAGGCGGGCGCCTTGAGAAATGCCGCTGTCGGTGCCGCAGCAGCAGCAGCAGCATATTGTTGCTGCGGTGTGGGCATTGTTGCCGTCGATGTGGTGGACAGCGTGGTGGCCGACGATAGTGTGGGAGATGTGGCTATGGAACAGGAGGATGATGAGGAGGCCGACGAGGGGGAGTACGGTGAGCTGCAGTGATAGGTAATATGCTGTTGTTGCTGCTGCTGTTGTAGTTGCTGCTGCTGCTGCTGCTGCTGATGATGATGTTGCTGATACATGTTGCTGGCGTGGTGTGTTACTGCTGCTGCTTTATTTGTGTTGCTGTGATAGTAGCCGGTGTTGTTGGTGTGATAACTGTATTGCTGCTGCGGCTGTTGTTGTTGCTGCTGCTGCGGCTGCTGTTGCTGCTGATGCGGCTCAATGATGATCAAATTGTTGTTGCTGTTGTTATAGCCAGCAGCAACTGCTGCTGCCGTTGTTGTTGCCACCACACTGCCAGCAGCCGCCTGCTGCTCACTGGGATTGGTGATCATGGCGGCCATTATATTGGCCGGTGGCAAGACAATCGGTATATGATAGTATTTACACTGTTTACGACGGCACTGGCTATTGGCATGATCCCGACAGACAGCAACACGTTGATCAATCACCTCGACCTTGTCATCTGCGTATAGAATGGGGCGTGAGAATAAAGAAAAGTGATCGATTAGTAGTTGGTAACGAGAGGCATATGAAGTTGTTATGGAGTTATTAGATAAACAGTGAAAGCAATTATAAAAATAATTGTTTATTTTTTTTTTATTTTATTTTTTTTTTTAATGCCCGCGAGCAAAAGTGATCTTGAAAGCAGCTTTCTAAGTGTAACCGAAGTTTTGGTTACTCTTCAAACTGGAGGTAAAAGTGAAGTTTATTGAATATGAAGCGAATATTCATTGGGTTTGGTGCAAATGAAAACGGACTAGAGTTGAGTTTGATCTTGAACTTGAATCCTACAACTTCGGCTAGAAATAGTTATCTAAAAACGAAATAAATCCAATTCAATTTGTAAAAGGTATTACAATCTTATTTGCGTGTATTTTGTGTGTGTAATTTCTTGGAATTTGATAGAACCTAAAAAAAAAACAAAACAAGAACCAAGATCAAGGGAAGATCAAATTAAAATGTTGCCAATTGAGCAAAATTTAAATTGAAATACAAAATAATTTGGTATATTCTCTCAACTACAAAATATAAAATGGAATTTTCTTGAAACAATCGCTAGAGGAAAAGCATTTAAAGCAACAAAACTAAATACTAGAACTAAAACTAAATGCCACAACTAAAAACTAAAGAACTTAAGCACATGCACTTACCTTCAGTTAAATGAACGAATCTACAATTTAACCGACTGCACATAGATCTATTAAAATCTTGGCACACCGGGAGGGTGTCCAGTAACTATATAGATTTTTGTTTATTTGCATAAACAATATGAGAATTTATATATTGGTTGTTTTTTTTTTAATTGATTTTTTTGGGTATGGCAGGATGCAAATGTAGTAAAAAAACCAATTGACAAAATAATAATTAAATTTTTGTTTGTTGTTGTTTCAGAGTGTTTTTGATATTATTTTGGGTATTTTTCGGGGTTTCGTTTGAAAAAAAGAGAAGAGCAGAAAAAGAAAAGAAAAAGAGCACAAATTAGTTATATTCTTATAATAATCATATGATACACTAAAATTGTTAATGGTTGTTAGATTTATTACGCTTGGTGTACATTTTCTTTTTTTGTTTCTTTCGGTTTTTCAATGTTAGTTGCTGTTTAATAAAATAGTTAACAGGGTTTTTCATTTCATGATAAATACATTAATCGTATGTTAGACTAGTTTTTGACTTAAATAATCTTAAAATAGGCAATAGGAGAATAAATTATAATATGGCGGCGCAAATGAATTTAAAATTCTCTTAATAATATGTTTTGCGAATGAATCCTGGAAAATGGGTCGCATCTATAAAGTATGTGTTCTAAAGTTTTCGGTGTTTGGAGCGTGAAGTTCGGTGTCATTAACTTTATGATAATCAAAAAGAAAAAAAAATTTTTTTAAACATAAATTTGTTTGTTCTTGATTTGAAAAACTTAAATGCTAAGCTTAAAAATAAAGTTTGCCACAAAAGCTTTAAGTCGAACTTAGGGAAATCTAGAAATCAATGTGGAAATAAAACGCCTTTAAAGCAGCAAGTATTGGACAACTAAAACTTAGCTTTTGAAAGAGCCAACGGTATATGGAGAAGCCAAGAAGCTTTCAAGCACAGCATAGAGATAGACAGAGAGACAGAGTGGGAGAGCGAGAAAGAGCTTTTGGTCTGTAACACTCACATTTTGATAAGGTTTTGAACGCACGCGCCTTAGTTACGAGATATATAGATATATATAGATATATATGTATATATGTATAGTACAAGAAAAGATTTTGTCATTTTGATTGATTGCTTAAGTTCTAGTGGGCTGAATTATGCAGTAACAGTTACATATCCTAATAGGCGGCACTAGAAATATAAGAAAAAAGAGAAAGAGAAAGAGAGAGAGAGAACGTAATACATACGCAATGTTAATTTGTATACCATAAAAAATGACGCCTGTGTTTTTTTATGTTTTCGAAGAAACAGTCAAAAAATTTGTAAGGATAACACAATAAGAAACAGAAAATCATAACGTAACCAAATCATAAATTTGGCCTTGAGTAGCGCGCAAAAGCTGCTAAAGCTAACTAAAAGTGAAAAGCTTTTAAGCTTAAATACAGCGATCGCCTTTAACGCGCGCGAAGCTCAAAGCTCTTTGCCAGATATGCGATTCTATTTTATGAGTATTTGAGTAAGTATATCAAAAGTGTTGCTAGGCACACAGATTTCGGGTGGAATGCGACAGGCACACAATATAAGAGTGAGCGAGAGAGTTATATAGAAAAAGAGTGTGGAGAGTGGGGGCAGGGGAAGTATCGTAAACGTATTCAATGTAAATAAAATTTAAATTGCTCGCCGCTCTTTACCTAATTATGTAAAATGTGCCGTTCATTAGCATAGGACACTGAGTGTATAATACGCCCCGTTCCGGCTGGGCTGTGTTTGGTATCAAATAGAGAGAACATTGATTACGGATTAGCTGGATAGTAGTTGGGAGTCTATAAGGTACAATTATTCAGTTTTATTTGTTTTTATATTTGTAGTTTTTTGTTTTTTTTTTTTCTTTTTCTCAGCTTAATGCTGCTGCTGTCTTTGGCAAATATTCCCGCCAGGTGGTATGTGTGAGTGAGTGTGAGCGTATGTGTGTGTGTGTGGGCGTGCCCCTGTGTGCGTATTGGGTCAGACAATTGTGCAAACAGCTGCTAACAGCTCTGACACTCAAAGGTGTGTCCATGTCAGGGCGCTGACATCATCGCTGACAATGTTGGCAACGCCTTCAAAATGGCCGTCGACACTTGTTCATCCTTGTCGTTGTTGTTGTAATCATAGTTGTTGCTCTTGCTCTTACTGCTGTCGTTGTTGTTCTCGTTGTTGTAGTCGTTATGGTCTGGCGCTGTCGTCGTTGTCACTAGGGGCGCGGCAGCGCATTTAATTTGATTAACCCAATTCACGCTGGGAGTGTTGAAATGTGTGCCACTGTATCTGCATACCCTTCCCGCATACCGGGTACTACAGCTTTGACACGTTGTTTGTTCAGCAGGCGCGGAAATGTTTCTTTATTTTTACAGAACTACGTCTTTATATATAAATATATAATAATTGCTTAGTTTTTATAAATAATTGGTTTTCAATGTAAAACCCTTTCGCTTGAGGTCTTTTTAAAGCGACTTTACACTCTATGATCGGACTATTATATTGTTTGGGGTATTCTCAGCGAAGGGTATTTGAATTTCGGCTAGCCGAATAATAGTTTAAAATGTTCTTATTTGATATGAAAAACAGTTATCATCATTTTAGAATGATATTTGACACTTGAGACTAGATAATTATATACTTGCTGCTCTAATTGCGTTTTATTTCTATATGATTGTAAACATAAAATACAATTTATCACTAATCTTGTCTTGAATGGTATTGGGTGTTTGTTTTTGTTGCCTTTTGAAACAGAACTTAGAACTAAATAAAAATTGTAAATGTAAATTAGTAAAATGTAAGCGCAGTGTACGCTAACATGCAAAAGATCTTGTATTAACAGCTGCTTAGCATGCTGCTAACAGACTGTTAGTCTGTTAGCCTCGCAAGCATTCACCAAGTGCAGAGACTGTACCTGACCGCTGGCATCGGTGTAGATAACACAGGAAGCATTTAGAGGTGGCATTTTAGTGTTTGCTATAATTATCGATAATCACAAGCCGGCAAAACATGCAATTTGCATTTTGGTCGAAAGGTGTTAAATTATATATTTAAATATAAAATATATGTGTGAGGTGAGTGGTAGAAGAATAGATAAAAATGTGTGAACGAAATTGTTGCATAGTTTTATTGTTTGTTGTTGTGGTTTGATTTTGCGGTTTGATCAAAGTTGGTATCCATGCAGCGTTTGGCAAGTGTGTGTTTGTGTGTGTACATTTGGTATCATTATTTGGTTGCATTTTGCCATTTAAATCCCAATCCGTGCGAGTTGTTTTTTTGGTATTTTTCATTCGTTGAAAATATAAAATTTTATTGCATGCAAATTGAAGAGTATTTTTTTATTTGTTTATTATTTGAACGCATATGTGTTAGCATGTAAATGGAAAAAATATGAAATTAGTAGAAACAAGATGAGTACATTTGTATGTAAATTGAGGGTTGGTGATAAATAAAATTTTAATTAGTTTGCTTTAAACATTAAATGGCAGAGGCTTGAATTAAGCTTAAGCTGCATTTGCGATGCAACAAAAGTTCGTCGGAAAATGAGTGAATTATTCTTGCAAGTGTATCTTTTACATCTCTACATTGTTAAAATTTTATTGAAAGTCCTAGTTATTATTAACATTGGTTAATTTATCTGCAAAGTTTATAACTCTTAAAACTTTGATCTGCTTAATAAACTGAAAACTAAGCTGTTGTTTCTTCGAAACCTTTCTTTTACGCTTCCCTTCAGCTAACCTTCAATTGAACTCGCAACTGCGCCATAATTACGTTTGAATTACATTTTATGCAAATTTAACAGACGCCCAAACCAAAATACAAAAACACAAAAAAAAGAGACTCTGAACCACACAAAAACTCGTGTTAATAAATGTAAATTAATGACACGCCTTTCCTGTTCGCCCATTTGTGTCCTGCAATTAAGCTTCAGTTTTTTATGTTCTACTCATTACAGTTCTTGTTGCAGTAACTTGTTGCTTGCGCCACAAGTTTTTGCTGAACCAGAATTTTGTTGCATGGCATATGCAAATGGCAAAACGCACTTAAAGCTAGAATAAATTAGTTTAAGGACTATTTAACTATTTAAGCATAATATTCAGGTGTCTATTGATAGGAGCCTGTAAGCTGTAAGCGAAATTAGTAAAAGTGTTGCATACATGTTGGGCGCGTCTATGTAAAAGCCATGTTAACTGTTAGCAGAAGCTGTAAAATAAAGTGTAATAATAAACTGCAAGGTATTTTTTATATAATAAATTGAACGAAAAGCACGCGCAAAAGCCATGAAAGCAAAAAGAGCAGCAACTGAAATAAGAAAAAATTTGGTATCAAAAAATTATGTATGCAGGGGGTAAAAAAATATGTAAATAAAAATTATAAATACAGCACACGGCAGCAAAAATTGTATTTTGAAGCGCATTTTAAATTTGTTACTGGCGCAGCAGCTGTAATTAAAAAACAAACAGTCAATTTAAATACATATATAGTTATATTTTATATTATTATATCTAAACATAGGCTGTTAGTTCAGCAAGCGCTCTAGGCAAATATCAGACAAGACACGCACACAAAAAAAAAGTAAATAAATGAATGAGAAAAAAAAAACTTAAATGCGAATACTTACTACATTAAGTACATACAAACAAGCCTGCAAAAGTCGATGAAATATAAGTAGAGATATATATATTTATATATCATATATAGCTAAGTATAGTTATATTACCACGCTGACTGGCTTGTGTGTGCGAGCGAGTGTGTGTGTGTGTGAGCAGAAAAGTAGGCTACAATTTTCGTTTACTTAACATCCAGAACAAGTCAGAATTGAAGCAACGGTTAAAATGCATCTGATGTGCAGCTCAGTTGTGTGTATGTGTGGGGGTGTGTATGCATGTGTATCTGTATAATTTAGTTCTTAAAGCTCTTAACGTTTAACGGTGCCTGCAAGCATTGAATTTTCATTAGCTACATTTGGATATGACAGCTAAATAGCTCTGAGTGTTGTTGTTGTTGTTGTTGCATGTATTTGTTTTGTGGTTAACATATGTTGTTTCATTGTGATCAGCATACGGTCATACATAATACTTGTGTAATCCATGTAAAAAGAAAAGGAGTCATGTTAATAACATTGCTTGCAACAGGTGTACCACATAATTTTATCATAGATAACAGCTAAAGAGAGCAGAGAGTAAATGCATATGTTTTACTTTTTTTTTTTTATGTAATTAACAGTTGTCGTAATATTATTGTGATAAAACAATCAAAAAATATATTATTTTGTTAGACACTAAATATTAGAATAGTAAATAGTTTACTATTAACAATTTTTAAAATTGAAATAAACTTGACTTTGAAATTTAAGCATTTATGTTATTGTGACGTTAACAGTTTGACATGAATGTACAGATAATTAAGGTTTTAAAATATTTAAACGTTCAAGTAGCACAAGTATTTGTTATTTGGATAAACTGATATCAAATGCGGGGAATCATTAATGTTAAATTTTAATACATTTTTGCATGAATGCAAAAATGTTACATTTATGTAAAACAGTTCTTAAAGCTTTAAAGAAAAAGCTGTTTAGCGTTCTTTATTGCAGATATCTCTCTGATTTCTTTAGCAATTTAGCAAAATGAACTAAAAATAACGCTACAATCGAAAAAACGATGTATCTATACTTAGCGGCTAGTTAACATAGTTACTAAAATTTAAATATGTTTGAATAATAATATACATACGTACGAGTAAAACAAAAGCTCATTGGGCAGTGCACCAGCTTACCTTAGAAGTGCGTTTTAGCTTATACGAGTATTGTAGCTCATTTACCATCATACCACATGCCTGAGAAGCCAAATACGAGTATAGTAAATAAACGTAATGTATTTAGCGGGTACTTCGCAATTTCAATCACAGTTAGCAAGAAAGTGACAGCCACTTGCAACACAGGACTTGCAACTTCAAATGTTGGCGTAGGGTTTTTTGGATTCTCTTTAATATTTCTTAGTTTTTCATTATTATTTTTTTTTATTTTTGATTTTGTACTTGCTACGAAAGTTCTTGTTTCATTGAGCACATGCTGAAAAATTACAATACGATACGCTCCAAAAGGAAAATACGAAATGATAAGAGAACAGAAAAACGAATTCAACAAACATAAGATACGTAACATGTAGAAGAGAAACGTACTTCCCACTATGTAAGGGGATATAAAAACAGCCTGTACGAGTGTTACGTGTACAAGTCGCCAATTATAACAGCAAAACAGAGGGAAAGGCAGAGATAGAGAGATAAAGAGATAGGCAGACACAGAGAGAGAGAGAGAGAGAGAGAGAGAGAGAGAGTAAGAGAGATGGAGAGTGAAAGAGATACACAATAGAATGGGGCATTGAAAAGATTACTGCATTGTTTTGTGTTATGTGTGTGTGTTTGGAAACTCGATGGAAACTTTTGTAATGCGTTCAAAGAAAGGCTACAAATTGCAACTTCTCATTATAATAAGTATTATTCAGACTCATATGGATTTTCTTCTGTAAGACTTTTGTAGAGTCAGTTTTTCATTTATATTATTCAGTTGGAAAACATGCAAAAGACTTTTAGATGGTGGGAAGGTGTTATACTAGAGTGTATAGAGAGAAAGAGGCAAAATGTTAGTTAGAATTAAGACGAAGAGTGAAAGAGAGCAAAATGTTAGCGAAAATAAAAAAAATTTGTTTAAAGCATTTCTTTGAAACATTACAAAAGCGCTTAAGTCTAGAGATATATATGCACGTATATATATAACATATATTGTTATAATATAATATTTGTATATTATGGTTCCATACACATAAACCAATTCTTTTTGAGTTCGAGCTCGAGCAAGCCATGTGTTGAAAACGAGTACTACGAGTACTATTTGGGTTATGGAGAACACTTGTGTGTGTGTGAGTGTTTGTATATATCGATAAGAAAGTTGGAGTCGAGCAGAGAGCACATTGATATACGAATAACATATACCAGTGAATTGAAAAGAAGCATATGGAAATTATTTTGAAATGTTTTTAGTAAGCTTTCCAAATGAGCAGCAAAATAAAAAGAGGTTCAAATCAATTTGGGTAACTTAAGAGCTAACTGATCAATCGGTAATAATATCTATATAATCTCACAGTAAATAGCAAAATATATTAAAATATTTTAATAGAATATAGGACAATGCACAGCAAAAACTTTTGGTAGTAGTAGTGTATATGTGTGTGTGTGTGTTGGTGTGAGAGAGAGAGAGAGAAAGAGAAAATGTACGCAGAATATTAGTGTTAAATTTGCCATTGAGCACTTTCCAAGGTTACGAGTTAAGTAAAAGAAGCAACAAGTTTTTACGGTTTTTACAATAAAACGTTTATATAATTTTCAATATATTTTTGTTAATTTTTGCATTTTTGTTTTGTAATAGTTTTTATGTTTTTTTAACGCATAGTTAATAAGACTAATTTGTGTTTTTTTTTTTTTTTTTTTTTGTATAGAACACAGAACATATTCATTAAAGTGTTTGCTTGTATTGGTTGCTTTGTGTATAAGTTGTGTATAAATTATATATATATATATATATATGTATATATATATATAGGTATAAAGATTTTTATTTTATTTTATTATAAAACAATTTTGTTGTTTTTTTTTTCTCTTTCAAATGTTACCAACTTAGATTTCTCTTTGCTCAACATACATGCATTAGTTAACTTAGATACACTGACGTTTGTTGTTTGTTCATTTTTGTTATGTTTTTTTTATCAAATATACTCGAGATATTGGTAGCGCTAGGTTTTGTTAAGTAAAATAAAAGAGAAATGCAAAATGAAAGTGGCATCGTTTTGGGATGCGCTTTATAGCCATACATTAGTTTCAAAATGTTTCTTTGATGTAAAAGATTTTTCCCAGTGTGTTTGTTTGTTGCGCAGTATGTGTCATTCTAGTATGTGGTGTTCTTTACAAAAAACTGTGCTGGT